ATTTCACAACAACACCTTCATTACAAGGAGTAAAATAAATCCCCGGAGAGTGCCATTGAACCTGCAGTTTTCTTAGTCCACTGAGATTGTGCAGTTTGCCCAGTGGCCAGCTCTCCTGGAAATATCTGCCTCAATGTTAGGGAATAGAGGAGAAATTTAGAGAAGAGGCAGGATGAACCCTGTCTTGACCATGTCAAGTCACCCTCCTTCTGCTGTTGTTAGAGAGGAACAGAGAAGGATTGATGGAGAACTGTGGGCTAGTGTACAGAAGTCCTCCCTTATTCATCGGTTTGTTCTCCAAGGTTTCAGTTACCTGTGGCCAACTATGGTCCAAAAATATGAAATGGAAAATTCCAGAAATAAACAATTCATATATTTTAAATTGCACTGTTCTGAGTACCTTACTTTATCTTATTACATAGGCATGATATCATTTCACATCAGGAAGCAGGTTGAATACAGAACTTTAAGATATTGAGAGAGAGACCACATTCACATAATTCTTATTATAGAATATTGTTATAACTATTACATTTTATTATTAGTTATTGTTCATCTCTTAAGGTACTTAATTTGTAAACTAAACGTTATCATAGGTATGTATAGGAAAAAACATGGTTTGTGTGTGTGTGCATGTGTGTGTGCACGTGTTCACAACTGTATAAACACATGTAGGTGGTCTTTCCTCTACTTGATTTAATAAAAGTAAAGGAATCAGGCAAAGAGAGATTTTATCATCTCAGTAAATTTTCATGAAAGCTCTATGACACACCATTTTAAAGATGAAGAAAGTGAGGTGGAGAGAAGTTAAGTAAATTGTTCATGCTAAATACCTAATGCCTAGTGTAAATGGGACTGGACCACACTCTGCTGCTTTCTACAATGACCAACATCTCATCAACATTTATAGCAGCTATCAATATAGTACTTGTTTTATCCTTGGGCAAAAGATATATAAAAATGTAGAGCAGAAGGAAAATGAATGGGAGGAGACATTAGAATAACTTATTGTATTAAAATATTAATTTTATAGGATCATGTTTATACTTGGAATATAAATTTGTGTTTGACTGAACCTCTATACTGTAGAGGGCTGCCTGGGAAGGCACATGGGAAATTTTCTTTAATTATTGTCAGCTGAACTCAGGGTGTAGGCAGAGCCACGACTTGGGAACATGTTTCTCCAAGATGGCGGACATGTTGTCAGGTTGGCTTTCATATCATCCCAGGTGTCGGCAGGGACAGGACTAGATATGTAAATCCAGGCATGCAAGAACCTACTTAAGAATGCAAATAAATTGGTGTTACTTCCTGGTATTGGGTGTACAAAATAAATGCGCTGGGAGGGGTCACGTTGTCATCTTCCTGCCTCTCCAGCAGAAGTATGGTGGCCCACCCAGCTTCCAGCTTTAAATCTATCTCTGTGTCTTCTCTCTTTATTTCTATTATTTCCCAATCCCTGGCCGCCTCCACTTAGAACCTGTTTATTCATCTCTCTTTCCGTGTGGACGCAGGAAAGGGAGATCCCTGCCGTATCAGGCCCCCGCACTATACTAAAAAAAGGGTTATATGCTGATTAGACTGAGATGATCAGCCATCTCCTGGATGTCTAACTTCCTTCTGGACAGAACCATGGTTGTAGGGGCTGAGGCAGAGGCAGTTAGGGGTGACCAGGTCAGCAGGAGAGGGCACTTGGGGGCATTAGGCAGGCAGATGAGTTGTTAGGAACCAGTAGTCCTGGATTCTGAGAGGGATGTCTGACTGCCGGTTTAGGCCCGATCCTAAACAGGCAGTCAGATATCCCCCGAGAGGTCCTGTATTAGAGATGGTATGGGCTGGTCTGAGGGACACCCCCCACCTCCTGCTCCATGCAAGAATTTCACTCCCCAGGCCTCTAATTATTAGATAATTAGACATTAATGTCAAATGTTGACTGCTGTGTCAGTTTTGTATAGATCTCTTTTGCAATTCCCATACAATCTTAAGTGGATTTTAGTAAGATTTTACTTAATTGTATCATTTTATTTTTACTATTATATTAATAGTATTTTTCTGAATTATCTTATAACAACTCTTTGTCATTTAATTTTAACTTTTTAAAGATGCATTTTAAATTTTGAAAGTATAACAGATATTCTACTTTTAATTTTTGATAAAATAAAAGATAATCCAAAATGTCTCTAAAATAAAAAATATCTAAAATATTAAAAGCATAATAAAAACACAAAGTTTTTTTAATTAATATATTTTATTGTTTTTTTACAGAGAGGGAGAGTGATAGAGAGTTAGAAACATCGATCAGCTGCCTCTTGCACACCCCCTATTGTGGATGTGCCCGCAACCAAGGTACATGCCCTTGACCAGAATCAAACCTAAGACCTTTCAGTCCACAGGCTGATGCTCTATCCACTGAGCCAAAACCCGTTTCAGCACATAAGGGTTTTTAACTGCTGAATCCAAATATGGTATCTGCCCCTTTAAGCTTAGTTGAATGAATGTATTTTCCTTTAGATATATTCCCACCAGTCTGTTCAGATTTGTTAGTATATACATTTTATTTGTTGTTGTGGTTTTTAAATTTGGCCTTTTATGATTTTGTAAAAGTGTAAATAAAAAGGGAGCAAACATGCTACTTTAAAATCAAATCTGTCTTAGTAATTTAATTTTTTGAAAATTAAAAGAAAATAATGCACAGATGCTTTTAAACTAAATAGTGGTTTATATGTACTGTCTAATGAAGAGTGTCCAAGTAAATCATTGTGTTAAACCAGTCTCATAAAGTGGTTTTATTCAGACTGGTGCCTGGGTCTAACCAGATGTTTCTGTTCTTAGAACTTACTTCGCTTACTGACTGACACCAATTAACACATATAATTAATATGCAAATAAAATTATCTATATAATTGTTACTTGGACACAAGATTTTAAATAGTTCTTGTCTGCATGAATCACTTTACATATTTATATTTCTGAGTAAGGTAACTAATTATGTGGCTTTTCTACAACACTTGCTAATTTGGACTAATTTCTAGAAATCATGTCCTAATTAGATAAAACTAAATTTTATAGGCAGTTAACAGCCTGGTTCTTGATGTGGATAGCAAGGATGTATCTTGGCATAAGATAAATTAAAACACGAACTATTTATGAGGATCTGAATTTAGATTAATTAGACTTCTGTTTGAAGCCAGAATTGCATCAGGCTAAAAAGCCTACAGAAGAACAAAGGAGAGAGAGAGAGCTAATGTGAGCTATTTGATAAAATGGGAAGATGTCAGCCACCTGCCCAGGTGTCTTCCACTACCCTCACTCATGGCAAGCAACTAGCGTTTTTGTCTACGTTACCAAAATATTAAGAAAAATACACTACTTCATTTTTACCCTGCTGTTCAAACCAAATTATACAAAATTGGCCAGTTAAATAGTTTGGCTGGATACTTTGTAAGAATGAGCTGATCATAGGAATCTGAATTAGGTTTATATCAATGAAGCAAAGGAGTGTAGCAAAGGAGTGTAGTAACACATTTGAGAAGCCTGGCCGTGAAGTGAATCAAGAGACACAGTCATCAACAGTTATATAGGGTGGAGGGGCCGTGTCTTTTAGATGAAATTATCCAGCTCTCATCTGAATCTTATCATAAGAAGAGACTTCATAATGCATTATTGATTCCTGATATCTTGGAGGTATACTTATAATGTGTCTATTCTAATTTAAAGGTGCAATTTGTAAAAACATAGAAAAGCACATATTGATATATTAATTAAAGATAATTAAATCAACTTTGGTATAAATTTACTTCAAATATGTTCTCCCCATTTATTAACTTTAACTATTTCACATCCCTCTGGAAACAATAGCAACCCTCCCCCCCCCAAAAACAAAACAAAACAAAACAAAAAAACCCACCAGAGATTAATAACAGCCTGCTACTTTTTAAGCTATCAAGCTAAGAACAAGAATGTTTTTCAACTTGTTTTACATGTCTTTTCTTAATTTCAATAGGGTTTATATTTATTGAGGATATTGTAGCAGTATCATAATGCAGCCAACTTGTCATGAGGGCAGGAAATCCTGATCTGCAATGGATGATGGGATCTTTGTTTCATCTGGAAGAGGCTTCTTGAGTAACAACACTAAGTTAGTTAGCAGAGACATGAAATGGCAGGTCCCAGAGAAAGGACTAGTGTTTAGCAGTGTTTTGAGTGGTGAGTGGAATCCAGGGCTGATAAGGACTGAGGGAGTTAAGATGTGAGCTTTTAGTATTGATACTTCAAATCACTAAATGTTTGAAAGAATAAAAACACATTTTGCTTCCTATATTGTGTTGATTTGTAATATTCATCGCTGAGTTCCCTTTTTTTTTTCACTGCCCCAGGGCCCAGGCAGTGCATGGCCCATGACAGGGACCACAATGACTCATTTTGGCATCTTTGGCCATTCAAAAATTCTCTCCTCTTAGATTTGTCGTATTCTATTGCATTGCTTTTGCTTTGCCTGAGAAATAATTTCTTTCATAAAAAATATTTATCTACTATGTATTTTACATTCTCTCATCTCTGATATAAGATGAAAGCTATAATTTGGGTGTCTTTTTATGTATCAGGAGAATTCAAATACAAAAATGTGGTGCTGGCAGTTACCAGTAGCATATGAATTCAGGGTGATTTCCTGTTGGGATGATGAGTGTGGCTAAACCATCCATGCCTGCTCACATGCACTCTGTCCTCACTAGGGGTTGTTTTTTAGAAATGGCAGAGGTATACAATTGTCATTCTTGCAAATCAGAGCAAACATAAAATGCAAGTTGGTTGGCTAAGTTTGATTTCATCGCCTCTATAGTCAGGCCTCAATAGTCTGATTGGAAGTAACTATAAGTTTTATGTGGTAGATACAGCTTTCTTTCCCCTCTCCCCCCTAATTAAAAAATAGAACTTCCCTTTCAATTTCAAGACTCCCCAAACTTTGAATATCTAACACATTTGAATGTTGAATAATAGGACTTACACATACTGCATTTTATTTTGATCCAAGACAAACTGGATGGTCTGGGATTCCTTTTCACTAACTCAGAAATCCACCCTCATGTAACAGCCACTTAGGTGGCATCTGGATATCAGAAGTCATGCTGTGGAGAGGAGTTCAATGTTAGTTACAATTGTTTGTTTGCTCACCCAACACATTTATTAATAAATGACTATGTGTCATACACCATGAAGGATTGTGGGTTCAATGTGACTAAGGTATGGATCCTATACTTAGTAATCTCATAAGATTTTTGCAAATATATTTAAGATATGTTGAATATTATAAAGTGGAAAAGAAACCATTTGGGCCAGTCACTCTTGCAGGACATGTTATCTATAAATGCAAAAAGAATATACAACTTTTGGTTAACTTGTTTGTTTCATTCCTCTTGGGGTTGATTTGGATTGTTTTATAATTGATTTAGCCCTAGCATCTGTCTCTAATTAGGAATATAGATTAAATATTTGGTTCCCTATTCCGCTTTCCAACTCAAGCCTTAAAACCAATTGTCCCTGTAAATTCTGGAATTCTTGGAAGGTTTGTGTCCAACAGAAGGCATAATGTACAGTCTGTCATTTTTCTAGCAGTATGTCTTTGGGCAAATCACCATGACTCTTGGAGTTTCAGTATGCTTCCCTGAAAATGAGGCTAACAGGGACCCACTCGGGGACGCTGTACAGATTGTGAAATGGCTATGAGGACTGGGACGTGAAGGCATTTATCAACTGTTGATTCCTCTGGCTGAGAATTTCAGAAATTTGGTGACTGGATAGATAGCATTCAGATTAAGATAACTTTGAGAAGATTCAAGTTCTTGCTGTTCTTTAAAATCATCCTCAAATACAAAATATGAGAGATGTGAAGGAACTGCCCAATTTGCACCCATCACACCAGACTTGTGGGCACATCTAAACCTGGCTGTTTCTGAGTTGAATGCCACTGTAACTCTCAGTTAATGATTATGAGGCTACTATGAACTAACTAATATTTATTGGTTTATTTTGATCAAAAAGCTACAAATGAATTGGACATAGGAGAGAATTGGTGGTTTAAAGGAGAGTTAGGCAGAGCCATCTAACCATACAGCACTTTCTCTGTCCTAACAGGGTAATGTGGAACAGGCATTCAGAGCTGGTGAACCTTCATGAGCATTTATTAAGCACCTGGCACAGAGCTGATGTCACAATTGTGGAGGCTAACAAAAGATTTAAGATAAGAAAGAAGTTCATTGTGAGAGACATACACATTTCCACCATGCTGAGCAATGCCAGGGAAAAGCACAGAAGCTCCTGGAGCACAGGAAGCAATGTAAGCTGGACACCAGAGTTGTTGGATTAGAAGACTTCCTGCAGGAGGCTGCCTGAGCTGGGTCTTGAAGAATAAGACTTAGCCAAGTACAGAAGGAAGCATTCCTCCTGCACAAAGGTGTGCAGGGCCAAAGTTGGTGAGTGTTTGGTGTTCATGGAGTTTTTAGAGAAAGGTGGTAGAGGAGCAGGAGACTGCAGAGGTAGGCTGTTTGGTAGATTCTGAAGGACTCTGGTGCTTATTATGGCCAGGCCCACTACGGAGCGCTTCCCAAATATTCAATATTAGCATACTTAATCTTTGGTGAAGAAGGAAATTGAGATACAGAGAGGATAAGTAACTTGCCTACGGCCACATAGCTGGGATTGGAACCTTTGAAGACCAGGTTCTTTCCATAATTGGCTGCCTCTATGAAAAAGCTCAGTTGGAGGAATGCAATCATCAAGGTTTAGAGAGAGCAGTCAGGTTGCCATGTGAATTGGTTGTGTGTTGGGAAAGGACTAAGACTGAATATTAGTTAAGGGGCTATTGAAATTGTTACAGTAAGAGGTAGAGCCAACATTAACCTGGCAGTGTCAGGGGAATGGAGAGAAAAATGTGGATTTGAAAAACATTTGGGAATTAGAGTAGGTGAAACTTTTGATTGATTTGAAGTGGAGATAAAGTATATGGAACTAGAATAAATCCCAGATTTGGTTCTGGGTTTGTATTGGCTGTGTAATCTTGATTTTTTAATTTGCTGCCTTTGAACTTCAATTCTTCTGTTTTAAATGGGTTAGATTGTTATACAGACACAGAAAATCTGTTGGAGAATTTGAAATGATGTATTCAAGGTGGCTGACACATGTGCCTTTGTATAGGAGCAGCCGAATGGATGATAAAATGCTATTCTGTTATATTTTAAAAGACTGGTCTGACTTTAAGAGTTTCCTTTTAAACATAGGAGAGGGAAATGTCACATCTTGATTTATTACTATTATCAGTTAATAATACTGTAACAGAAATGATGCCATGGGTGAAGACTGGGGTGGGAGTGAGCACAATAGAGTGGGCAAAACACTAGCAGGGCGGAATTTTGTCCAGAAAAAGGCTTTTTGGAGGAAAAGTGGAAGTGGTAGTCTAGGGAAAAACAAAAACAAAAACAAAACCTAGAAGTATTGGCAATTGTCTGAATTATCCAAGTAGCGCCTGCCACTTCCCCTTACCTTTGTCTTTGGACATTAAACATAAAAAAGAAGCAACTTTTAGAGAACAGAAAGAAAAGATAAACTATCTCTCTAAATGCTTTACCTTGTTGGTTTTGGCCAAGTCCTTTAGGATGTTTGCTTGTTTTTCATCCTGGGGTTTTATTCGGAATACCTTCTCCCTTCATGAAAGCAGAAGATGAAATATGTGAACTGCAAAGAACATTCCTTTTCCCACAACACAGGGTGATAAGAGTTACCTGTCAAAGCGGGCAGGAGCAATGGCCAGGGCCGTAGTGATCAAACTAAGGCAGGATGAGGTGCAGGTTCCTCTTTGCCTGCTCCCAGGCCCTCTGCCAGTTTTATGTCTCAGCTCCTATTTGGAGGAGCAGCTGATTTCCTCTGAGGGTTCTGGTAGATGATTTCTTTTCTTTTTTTTTCTTTTTTTTTTTTTTTTTTTAAATATATTTTATTGATTTTTGTACAGAGAGGAAGGGAGAGAGATAGAGAGTTAGAAACATCGATGAGAGAGAGTCATCGATCAGTTGCCTCTTGCACACCCCCTACCGGGGATATGCCCGCAACCAAGGTACATGCCCTTGACCGGAATCGAACCCGGGTCCCTTCAGTCCCCAAGCTGACGCTCTATCCATTGAGCTAAACCGGTCCCGGCTCTGGTAGATGATTTCTACTTGGGGAGTGGGAGTTAGGGTGGAGACATAACAGTAAAAACCATGTGACTCATATTCCTTTTACAATAGGGAATGCATATTTTGCAGACAGAATGAGAGGCAAATTCCTTTTTTTTTTTTTTTTAGCATATGACTTGCTCAAGAACACCAATCAAAAAGGATATATGCACCAATCAGAAAGGATATATGCACCCCTATGTTCATAGCAGTACAATTCACCATAGCTGAGATTTGGAAACAGCTCAAATGCCCATCAGCAGATGAATGGATTAGAAAACAATGGTACATCTACACAATGGAATACTATGCTGTTATAAAGAAGAAGGAATTCTTACCATTTGCAGCAGCATGGATGGAACTGGAGAGCATCATGTTAAGTGAAAAAAGCCAGGCAATGAATGAAAATACCACATGACCTCACTCATTTATGGAAAATAAATAACATTATAATCTGATAAACAAAAAGATAAATACAGAAGCAGTAAAGCATTGAACAGACTGTCAAATTATAGTGGGAAAGCAGGGGAGTGTTGGGGAGGGGGGGAAAGAGATCAACCAAAGGACTTGTATGTATTAAATCTTTTATTTTATTTTATTTGGGAGATGGCAACACCTCTACTCAGAATCAGAGGTGAGTGAGTGAAGTTATTAGAATTTCCTTTTAAAAATTACTTCTTCAGCGCCGAAACCAGTTTGGCTCTATGGATAGAGCATCGGCTTGGGGACTGAGGGGTCCCGGGTTTGATTCTGGTCAAGGGCATATACCTTGGTTGCGGGCATATCCCCAGTAGGGGGTGTGCAAGAGGCAGCTGATCGATGATTCTCTCTCATCGATGTTTCTGACTATCTCTCTCTCTTCCTCTCTGTACAAAATCAATAAAATATATTTAAAAAAAATAAAAATAAAAATTACTTCTTCAGCCCTGGTTGGCATGGCTCAGTGGTTAGAGCATTGGCCCATGCACCAAAGAGTCTTGGGTTCAATTCTTGGTCAAGGGTACATGTACTGGGTTCCTGGTTTAATCCCAGGCCCCAGTTAGGGTACATGAGGGAGGAACCAATAGATGTATCTCTCACCTTTCTCTCTCTCTCTCTAGCTCTCTCTCTCCCTCTCGCTCTCGCTCTTGCTCTCACTTTCTCCCTTTTTCCCTCTCTCCCTCCCACTCTCTAAAAAATAAGTGTAAAAATATCCTCGGGTGATGATCAACAAAACAAAACAAAAAACTACCTCTTCACATTGACAAATGTATAGATGGTCATATATAAAACTTCTGAGTCATGGTTGCATATTATTAATATTACTAGAGACCTGGTGCATGAAATTTGTGCACAGGGTAGGGGGTGTCCCTCAGCCCAGCCTGCACCCTCTCCAATCTAGGACCCCTCCAGGGATGTTAAACGGGCAGTCAAACATCCTTCTCACAATTCAGGACTGCTGGCTCCCAACTGCTTGCCTGCCTGCCTTCTTGATTGCCCCTAACTGCTTCTGCCTGCCAGCCTGATCATCCCTTAACCACTCCCATGCCAGCATGATTGATGTCTAACTGCTCCCCTGCCAGCCAACTTCCCTCCTCTGTTTGCTCCCAACTTCCCTCCTCTGCCAGCCTGGCCACCCCTAACTGCCCTTTCTTGCAGGCCTGGTCCCTCTCAACTGCCCTCCCTTGCAGGCCTGGTGTCTCCCAACTGCCCTCCCTGCTGGCCATCTTGTGTTCACATGGGGGCAGGATCTTTGACCATATGGGGGCAGCCATCTTGTGTGTTGGAGTGATGGTCAATCTGCATATTACTCTTTTATTAGATAGGATTATTAGCAGCAACAGCTTCATTTCTCTCCATCTGATGTGCAATATAATGTAAGACTTTTTTTATTCCTTCAAAGGTCCCCTTGCCCCCTCTGCAGGTAAGAAGAGGATGGTTTTACAAATGGTTTCATGTTTTTGACATTGGACAAGCTCTTCAGCACTGAAACTCCCAAAGCAAATACTTGTTTCATTGTTTCTAAGAGTATTTTTGGCAGGGTACAGAGAAAAATAAAGAGCTTGGCAGATATGACCTCAGAGTAGCTCCCAAAGAGTGGCTACTTTACCTTGAGCAAGCTGCCTAGCATTCTTATCTGAAAATGAGTATGCAAATGCGACTTTTAAAAGTAGCTGTGGTTGATCTCTTACTTGGCCCCCTCTCCCCCTGCAACTCCCCCACTCTCCCCTGCCTTCCCTCTGAGGTTTGACTGTCTGATTGATGCTTCTCTGTCTCTGGATCTATTTTTGTTCATCAGTTTATGTTGTTCAATATAGTCCACAAATAAATGAGATAATGTGATATTTATCTTTCTACAACTGGCTTATTTCACTTAGCATAATGTTTTCCAGGTCCATCCATACTGTTGTAAATGGTAACAGTTTTTTCTTTTTTTAAAGCAGCATAGTATTCCATTGTATAGTAAAAATACCATAATTTTTTTAATTCACTCATCTGCTGATGGGCACTTAGGCTGTATCTGCATAACCAATGGACACAGACATTAACAGGGTGAGGACTTTTGCTGGGGGGTGGGAGTGGCCCAGGAGGTCAATGAAGGAAAAAAGGAGACATACACACTGAGTGGCCAGATTATTATGATCTCTGAATGCATAAGCATCTGGCCACTCAGTGTCTATCCTATATAATTAAAGCTAATACACAAATTGTCTCCTCGACCAGGAGTTTGACCAGCAGACATGCTGGCCGACTGTCCATGTCCCCTCCCCCTGGCCAGGCTGGCCGGACCCCACCTATGCATGAATTCATAATAATCTGGCCACTCAGTGTATAATACTTTCAATAATAAAGAATTTAAATTAAAAAAAAAGTGGCTGTGAGGCCTAAATGAAAGGGCATATGTAAGGAATGTGGAGGATGGTAGGTACCAAAAGACAGGCCATGACCTCTTGGTAGCGATGAAATTGTCAGATTCTGTAAACAGTCTTACAACTGACCTTAGGCGCTGTAGCACTGATGAGCACCAGCATGTATCACGTGCTAGACTAAAGTGCCTACTACAACCTTTTGGGGTGAAATATCTCTCTATGTTTGTTTCAATAGGGACTACATTTTTATTTAATTTTTTTAATGTAGTAGCTTCACTTTTTGGAGTTTAATTTTCTATTCTAAAAGTAATAAATTCTCGCCGAGGCTGGTTTGGCTCAATGGATAGAGCATCGGCTTGGGGACTGAAGGGACCCGGGTTCGATTCCGGTCAAGGGCATGTACCTTGGTTGCGGGCATATCCCCAGTAGTGGGTGTGCAAGAGGCAGCTGATCGATGACTCTCTCATCGATGTTTCTATCTTTCTATCTCTCCCCCTTCCTCTCTGTACAAAATCAATAAAGTATGTTTAAAAGTAATAAATTCCCATTGAAATAATTTAACAAATTATTAAAAAGTTGGAAGAAGAAAATAGAAATCACCATTAATTCTGACTTTTTTGGAAGCCTTTTCTGTGTGACTAGTTTTAGAACGGAGTAGAAAAGTCTTCTATGTAAATATATTTTAGGTAAAGTGGGAATGACACTTCTATTTTCTTTGGGGATATAAATAAATGTTTGAAGGATTCTGATATTTCTCAGGGTGAGACTCTGATTATAAATAAATCTTTTACTTATTCATATCTTGCATATTGACAAATCACATGGATATGTGATACTTTTAAGACCTGCCACTTCTCCCCAATCTATTTTGCCCCTGAGGAATTGTACAATAGATGTATTTTAAGAATATACTGAAGCTTTTTCTCAGAATGGGTGAGTTCTTGGCAAGCATAGTTCAGTACAACTTTATGTTACTGCAGCAAGATTTATAAAAGGTCTTGGCAAATGTAAGGGGTAGGATAGCTGTTGGATATTATATTATTTCAGGATTGACTACTTGGCTACTTAAGACAATATGTTTCATAGGTTAAATTAATTTCTTTGAAAAGAGATGTAAAATTGAATGCTTCACAAAGCAATAATTTTCCATCTTTCTGGATCTTTATACTCCTAGGATTTTTCAGTAGTATATGTCTAACCATGGTTTTAAAACCACATTCTTTTTTTAAACTATGCTTTTCTGCATATTTTAGAAAGATAATTTAGCTAATTACATCTGTTTTTAAATTACCATCAGTATTGTTTACTAATTTATAGGAATTTCTTTTTTTTGTGTGCTTAAGGATGTCTTTCTTTCTCTCTTCTTTAATCTTTATCAGAGACATGTTTTATTATTATTATTAAATTGACTAGAGGCCTGGTGCATGAAATTTGTGCACAGGAGGCGGCGGGGTGGGGAGGAAGGAATGAGGAGAAGAGTCCCTCAGCCCCGCCTGCACCCTCTCTCAATATCCGGAATCCCTCTGGCAATCCAGGACCACTTGCTCCTAACTGCTGTCTTGCCTGCCTGCCTGATTGCCCCTGACTACTCTACTTCCTGCCAGATTGCCCCTAACTGCTTGCCTGCCTGCCTGATCACCCCTAACCACCTCTCTATTGGCCCCACCTCTGTGGCTTTGTCCAGAATGACATCCAAACGGTCATTTGGTTGTCCAGTCTAATTAGCATATTAAACTTTTATTATTATGAATTCTTAGAGAGAGAAGAAGGGAGAGAAAGAGAGAGAGAAACATTAATGTGAGGGAAACATTGATTAGTTGCCTCCTGTATGCTCCTTGACCTGTGACTGAAACCTGCAACCTTTCGGTGCATGGGACA